TTAAATCTCATATTTTAAGAATTTCTTTACTTAGGATTTGGAGAAAATATTATAAAAGTGATTTTAAAGTACCATTATGGGCTATACCTTGGCATGCGATAGAAGGAATAAAAAGAGGGGTTAAAATGGATATGGTGTCTTATAGACAGTTACTTAAATGGGATGGACAAAACTGGCAATTAAAATCACGGGAAGAGTTAGCACAAGAAAATTTTACTTATTCTTGGTTCCAATATAGGCAATTATTAGATAGATGGAAGATGGATTGTAAGGTGGGTTTTCTTAGAGAAGATGAAAACCTTATTAAGCAACTGAAGGATCAAAGACAAACCCACATTAAGAGAATTTATGGGGTTTTAGTTGAATTGGATTCAGAAACGGAACTAATTAAAGATTGTATGATTAGATGGGCGCAGAATTTTGGTGAGCCAGTTTCATTGGACACCTGGGAAACTATTTGGGTGAGAAATGTCAAATTTACTCAAGCACAGAACTTAAGGGAGAATTTTTATAAAATGTTTTATAGATGGCACCTTGATCCACAAAAAATGTCTTATATGTATCCTGACGTGCAACCTAAATGTTGGAGATGTGGTTATAAGGAGGCTTCTTATTATCATATTTGGTGGTCATGCAGAGAGATAAAAGCATTTTGGATTAAAATATGGTGGAATATCCAGAGAATTTTTAGAAGGAGGGTAAAATTTACTCCGCAATTATTTTTGTTAGGTATTGTTACAGATTGTGATACAAAGGAGGTTGTATTGATGTTAAACTTGATCACAGCCGCTAGGCTGTTAGTAGGACAATACTGGAAGAAGGAATCTTTGCCTACATTGCAGGAATGGTTTCTTAAAGTAGCTTATCTGGCAGAAATGGCAAAGATTTCGGCTTTCTTAAAGCAACAAACGCAAGAGAAGTTTTTTGCTGTTTGGGATAAATGGATAAAATTTATACAATTTAGATTGGGTATACAAAAATATTATATAGTTTTTTCATAAGTTTTATTTTCATATATATTATAGATAATTTTTTTATATATATAAATATAAAGTTCTTAATTTAATTTTTATTTTTATTTCTTAAGCCTATATTCTGCTCTGGGAAGCTCAGGGGGGGGGGAAGGGAGGGTTTTTTTTTTTTTTTTTGGGAGGGGTGGGGGATGGGGGGGTTTTCTTATATATGTATTGTTTAGTTTTATTTTTTTGTATATGTTGTCTTTTGTTTTGTATTATTTTTCCTTTTTTGTAAAATTTATAAAACTTTCAATAAAAAAGAAAGTCTCCTGAAAAAAAAAATATAAAAATAAAGCCTTGAACGTAAAATACAGAAGATAGCTATGACTGAAGAGTCCCAATAAGGACAAAACCAGTTGAGTAGTGCCTTCTACAGGTCAACAGTTAATATAACATCTAAAGTTTCACTTATATTTAAAAGTAGCTATCTAACTTTTAATTTGCCCACCAGAATGTACTTGTGCTTGTCACTGGAAGAACACATTGGTATATGTTAAGATATTTAGTTAAGATAAGAGAGAAATCAACTGTTTTAGTTATCTCGTTGGATGCCAAGAAAACAAGGTTATTCCAAGGATCTTGGATACCTGATTATTCCTAACAGCTTCTCTCACTGATTGTTTAATTTTATGAAATTTAACTGCAGGTATACTGAAGCTAAATCCATTTCTTTGCTAAGATACTTAAGAATAACTTGATATAAAATTAATTAATTACTGGAAGTAATTTAGTTGAATTTTAAAGACTATTAAATAGAATTTATCTTCAGTGAATCAGCTGAGCAGAAAATAGAGACAGCTGTAGGACTTCGAAATCTTCAAGCACATTTTGCTACATTGATGTTAGCTCTTCATTCTCTTCGGCAAGCCTGAATATGACAATTCCTCTCTTTTATTAGAGAATTAGTTCATCTAGATGAAATTTTATGCATTTCTATAAATAGTAGTAAAATGTAAAAAGACCTTTTAAATTCTGCTCTATAATTCCAATGGGTCTTGATCTTTTCGATGTTGGCAGCCATCTTGCAGTGCTACTGTAATAATTTTACATATTTTGAATCATTAACTTGTCTTAATCAGAACATTATTCTAAGCTTATTGCTTTAAAAGGGATGAAAATATAGTGCGCTAAATGCTTCTAAATAAATTTAGACATAAAGGTAGAGAATGGCATTTTAATAGTTCTTATTAAAAAGCTATCTAGCAACAGAAATGAAAAGATAATTGCCTAAGAATGTGGAGAGCTATGGTAAGACAGAAATGGGTAATTCTGGGCCAAATGGCTAAAAAACATTCCTCCAATTACACACGTATATCATGTTCTTTCAGAGGTGTGATGTCTGTGTTTCTTCATTGAAAGGCTGCCTTGTATTGACTATGAAGTTAGCTGGTGGCCAAGATCTTTCTACAAGAGTAGTTTAATTCATCTTGCTGTAGTTCAGTTGGCTGATAATTTGAAGAGAAACATTCTTAAATCTCTGAGGTAAGTATGATGTTGCCAGACTGTAAAGAAACACTTAGTTGGGAGGTGGGGATGATTTGAAGAGTATGAGCTTTTGGTGTGGAAAAGATGGATAAACTTTATACAGTATAAGTATGATATTAAAAGATATTATTTATCTTTTGAATAATTTATGTTTAAAGTTTAAAGTTTAAGACAATAAGTATTTTTTTATTATATATATATTGGATTTTTTATTATATATATATATTGGATTCTTTTTTTTCTTTTATTAATGTAATTTTTGTTTTAGGTTTACTTAAGTTTAAATGTTTTGTATTTTTAGTTCTTGTTAACCCTGTATTCAGCTCTGGGAAAAGTGGGGGAGGGTTTTTGGGAGGGTTGGGAGGTTGTGGGTGAGGGATATTATTGTAAAATTGTAAAACTTTTAATAAAAAAAAAGAGTATAAGCTTGTTGCTTTTAGAGGTTATTGTTGCCTTTTGTTGGCTTTTAAATGAAACTTGGCTGGTGTATTTGCATCACTGTAAGCTCTTTGGCAGTTTTGTTCAGCTCCTCACCAGTTCTTTGTTTTCTTTGTTGTAGTTTTACCACAGAGGAGAGAAAGGCTTCTCTGCAGGAGAAAGTGCTTCGCCAGGATGCTAAGGAGGGACAGATGCAGCTCACCTAGCTTTTGTAATCCTATACTCACTTCTGCAGAGAACATCCTACATCCACCCAAATAAGCATGTGAATTGGGCTTCTGGGAAGTAAAGACTGTTCTCTGAGCATATTTAATTATTTGTTTTCTTTAAAAATATTTATTTAAATATTTTAATGAAATTGTAAATGATTTCATGCACACATTTAGCATTAAGGGCTGATAGAGGCAATCAGCTGACAAGTTTATATAAGAAGTTACATTTATGCATTTAATCATTTGTTTGAAACATTCCATCTTAAATGTGTTGGTCATTTGTTTATTTTCATATGATCAAATGGAGTTCTTCACATCGCATATTTTGTAACAACAAGAACATTCAAATATGTGCTGACACAACTAAATTCATTATAAATTTCAATAACAGTCACTGTATAATGCTTCTGCACTATATCTGTGAATTGAACATGCAAAGTTTATAAAGGTCTGATGCATCAAGTATTGGTATGGCTGCCTCCTGAAGGGACAAAGGATGCAAAGAGATGCTCATATCCTGATAATGTGAGTAACAGGTGTATTCAAACAATCCAGATATTTATTATACTAGAAAATTTAGTAGTAGAAAACTACTACTTTCCTGTTCAATATCTAGTTTTGGAATTGAAAATAGGCTTATCATATCCACAAGAAATTTTACCTAATGGTGAGAAGGACATGGAAGTGATTTTGGAGCTGTCACTGTGTATTTTAAAGACAGCATTGAATCCAACAAACAAGAACTTTGAATTAAGGCAACTTCTCCCTAGAATTTTGGGTGAGACTTTATAGCAGTGCTTCAAAGATAGCATTGTGGTGCCATTTTTTAAAAGATTTGTTCACTGGAATGGCAACCAAAGGGCTGTTTGTATAATGCCACTCAACACTAAGCTACAAATAATGATTTACAAATCACAATGACTGGCTTCACACTATACCTTAAGCCACAAATGAAAGAATCACATTAAGCTTTGGTTCATCAAGGCCGTTGCAAAAGTCAAACATAACACAGCTAGCTTTAAGTACTGCAGCTCAGTGTGCTACATTTGATTTTATCTCTTGAGAAGGCCCATTTAATCTCTTATAGGTTATATTTCTTACATAGATAGATAACCACCAGTTAATTCCAGAAGAAAATTCTAGCCTTCCGGTTCACAGTGACTACTAAAGCATTTGAAATAAGTGTTGTCTTTAAACCAGCAATGTAAGCAGATCTCCCCCCTCCTTTTTCATTTTATTTTTATCCTGTTAGTATTCCCTTCTTTCTTGTTCCCCTCTCCCTGTTCCAATTCTTCTTCACTCTATGCCTTCAACAGCTTCTTTATGGATGTTACAGAAGAAATGGCTTCCAGATTAAACATTATTACAACCTGATAGTTTTGAAGTTCTGATTTTTTTCAACATTTCAGAAATTCAGTATTGCCCAAAAGGAATGTGAGATGAAGTTGGGAGCAAGGAAGGCCATAGAGGGACTTGTTAAGTTTACTCCTCTATTTATTTCTTTTTGTTCCTTTATTTCTCTCTCTCTCTAAAATGGATTCTAGAAAGTTTGGCTGATAGTCTTGAAGAATTCCAAAGCAATTTGTCCTTCTTGACTGAAAGGAAGAATTTGGCTCTGAGGGTTTTGTCACTAATTTTCTTCTGTCCGATGCTAACACCTGCACTGAATCTTCCTAAGAATTTGGCAACTTAGCACAGGAAGCTATTACTTAAATTATCTACTATCTTTCAGGGCCTTAGCAAAATCTACTGTGTTTCCCCAAAAATAAGACCAGGTCTTTTTTTTTTTTTTTTGCCTCCAAAAGAGGCACCAGGTCTTATTTGGGGGGGGAATGTCTTTTTTACTCACCACCTGTACCGACAGCTGTGCCCAGCTGGTCCACCTCTTCTGCAGCCGAAGGAGCAGCTTCATAACTCAGTTCTCGGCTGCAGTGGCCTTTCCAGAAATGCAGGCCTGGCTGCAGAAGACGCCTCAGAAGAAGTGGGCCAATGACGAGAGGCCTAGCTGAAAGGTAAGTGGGTGCAGGGTGCATGGGGCAGATCCACAACCTCACCCCTGCCCTAGCTTGGTTTTTAAGTTTGTGCCTCACCCCAAAACTAGGGCTTATGTTTGGGGTAGGGCTTATATTAGGCCCACCCCCCAAAATCAAACTTGGGCTTATTTTCAGGGTAGGCCTTACTTTCAGGGAAACAGGGTAGATAGCAATATCTACTAAAGCTATCTATAGTCCCCTATTTAAACCTGCAGACATCAATAAACTTAGAAGACAGCCTATTATAGGACATTTTCCTGGGAATGGAGTTCATATTTGACACTGACTAATTTCAGTGCACAGCCACTTTCAAAAAGAGAGGAGGTGAAAAGTTGGTCAAACTAAAGCTTGTGCATGCACATACACATAAAGCTTTCTCCTATGCTCTCAGCAAGAATAATAGTGGCTATTGTTCCATCAATATGACCCTATTTAACATCACATTCTCAACTCTCTCTAATAACATTAGTTATTAATTAACTAATTAATTATTCCCAAAGTGACCTTGTCTCATTTGAGACTGAATTCTCTTTCTGTATCATGCAGACTTCTCTGAAAGTCAGCTCCCTACTTTGTGGAAATAATGCTCTCTGGCCTTCCATCACTATGGCTGTTCTAATTTTCCCATATCTACATGAGAAAGTGAAAAAGAAACAAATTGGTGGAACAGCTAGGCATCCTTGAACCTGTCTATGATGGCTTTGACCCCACTGGTACTGTGAGGATTTTAAATGCTTAGTAAAGAAGCAGGAAGGATGGAAAGAAGGAACATCCAGGAAAATTAAAACCTGACCACTGGTCAACCAAACAACCATGCTACATAAATCCAGCTGTATGGTGCTAGCTCATCCATATCTGATGGCATTGTTGAGTAAACATGGCCAACAGCCATGGCTAGATTTGTGTAACATGCTAGATGTAAAATATGGTTGTCATTTTATGTCTCGGTGTGTTGTGTAACTTGTAGCCAGAGTGGGTAGTTTATGATCAATGTGTTATGCAAACCTAGCCAATTATATTAATCCAGTAAACCATGGCTGATCCATATTGTACAAACACAGTCATTATCTTAAGATACTATGAAATCACATCTATCTCTCCTCTCCATTTCTCATTAAGGGAATGTCACAACTGGTGTAAAAAAGTATATTTACATGGGACATTTTGCCACTGTCATATGCATGTGGACAACTTTTCTCAACTAATTTATACATACCAGGTTGCTGTTAACAATCATTAAGAAAAAAGAAGAGAATATAGTGGCCTCTGATAAAGCTATAGCACAGAATGAACCTGAGCAACTAAAAACATGACAGGAAAATTAAATGAATTTAAATCATGTATCAGATCATTCACTAAGATTTTTTTTAAAAATAGATTCCTTTTGGGGGTTTTTTTCTTAAGGGATTAATACTGTCAAAGAATCATTAACTGTAGACATCTTCTGTTGATTCAGGTAATTATCATTACACAAATGATCAGGGCAACTTTTAAAAGCAGACAAAAAGCACAATCTGTCATTGAGTTAATTTTAACTGTATCTTTATTAAAAAATACCTCCAGAAAGATGCCTCTCACACCAGCATATTCAGCGGAAGGTTGAAACTGAGCCAACTGATTCATGTGGCATCTTTTTATGCATGTGAGAAACCCAACTTTAAGGATAGGAGAAGGATAGTAACAGAAATCCCATTTGTTGAATTATTATAAAGTATGTATTATGAGGTGTAGAGGATGCTTAGCTAAACATTACTAAAACCATTTATTTATTTATTTATTATATGTTTATGTCACCCATGCCTCTCCTACAAGGTGACTGGGCAGCTTGCTTACATACTATTGTATCTATGTAAAAAAAATTGCAATCAGGCAAATCCAAACTTTGTTTTTTCAGGCAGAGAAAAATGCCAACTGCTATGGCATGAGTAAATTATACAGTGTTTTGTCATCCATTCAGTCCTGAGGATGACCCTGCTTACTCACTCCAAGTAATCATTTGAAACCTCTTCATCCAAGAATACTTGAAGAGATAGGTTAGGTTAGGTTAGGTTAGGTTAGGTTAGGTTAGGTTAGGTTAGGTTAGGTTAGGTTAGGTTAGGTTAGGTTAGGTTAGGTTAGGTAGATGATACATAGAGATAGATAGATAGATAGATAGATAGATAGATAGATAGATAGATAGATAGATAGATAGATAGATAGATAGATAGATAGATGATACATAGATGATAAATAGATACTATTTCTTTTTATCTTTAAAAATAGATTTTATTTTTAGTAATAATAGTTTTAAATATTTACTGACTGCTGCAATTCAGTAATTTGGAGGTTAGAGATTATAGGTTAATTTTTAACTAAGAAACTACACATTCATTTATCATTTTATGGGATCACACCACTGCAGACCACATCCTTAACTAATATCATTCAACAATAGGAGTGACTTTGGAATCTTGGTTCAACGATAATTTTCTACTTTGTTGCCCAGAGCTTTCACATAGAGCTATAATTTATCATTTGGTTGTTCAAAGCAAACATCCCCAAAAGGCTGAATTTTATTTATCTCTTCATTCTATAAATCTGGGAAACTATAACTCTTAATGGAAGAAGATCAAGAAGAATTGCATGCTTAACAACATCTAACCAAGTGGTTAGAATAATCTCTCTCTTCAATTGACTCTATTTGTCCTAAAAACTAAGATTTTTTAAAAAAACAAATGATATGTAACTAGCTAAAAAGTTCACATGACATAGTAAACCACAAACTTCTCAATCATTCATGATATATGAATATTGACATACACTTTGAACTTAGAAAACTGAGTTGAGTAAAACATTTGTGAGCTGATCATGGATACCATGTAAGCAAAGGAAATACTTAGACTGATTTTTCAAATTATATTTATAATCCTTTGCTTGTGGATTGCCTTTCCTTGGTCTCCCTATTTTCTTTCCCAAAATGTACTCCTTTTTATACCTAGAGATTTGACTACATTGTTTTAAATGGGAAATTTCTCAATAAACCTTTCTCATTTGCAAGACTGCATGGTTGCACAACATTAAGGAAACCAAGATCATGGCATCCGGCCCTCTCAATTCCTGGCAAATAGATGAGGAAGAAATGGAGGTAGTGATAGATTTTATCTTCCTGGGCTCCAAAATCACCAGAGATGGGGACTGCAGCCAAGAAATTAAAAGACGTTTGCTCCTGGGGAGGAAAGCTATGGCAAATCTAGACAGCATACTAACAAGCAGAGATATCACCCTGCTAACAAAAGTATGTATAGTCAAGGCCAGGGGTAGGCAACCTCAGCTCTTTTATGACTCATGGACTTTAATTCCCAGAATTCCTATGCTGTCTCAGGAATTCTGGGAGTTGAAATCCATGAGTCATAAAAGAACCGAGGTTGCCTACCCCTGGTCAAGGCCATGGTTTTCCCAGTTGCAATGTATGGCTGTGAAAGTTGGATCATAAGAAAGGCTGAGTGCAAAAGAATTGAGGCTTTTGAACTATGGTGCTGGAGAAGATTCCTGCGAGTCCCCTGAACTGCAAGGCGATCAAACTGGTCAGTCCTAGAGGAGATCAACCCTGACTGCTCTTTAGAAGGCCAGATCCTGAAGTTGAAACTCAATTCAATGAGAAGGAAGGACTCACTGGAGAAGAGGCTAATGCTGGGAAAGATTGAGGGCAATAGAAGAAGGGGACGACAGAGAATGAGGTGACTGGATGGAGTCACTGAAGCAGTAGGCGTGAGCTTAAATGGACTCCAGAAGATGGTAGAGAACAGGAAGGCCTGGAGGAACATTGTCCATGGGGTCGCAATGGGTAGGATACGACTTTGCAACTAACAACAACAACATGGTTGCACATGTGAACCCTTGTGTTCACAGGTTTTGTTCCATATTTCTGGTTTAGGCAGGAAGATCTAAAGGAGGGTTTTTTGGGGAGGGGGTTTCTAGAGCAGAGCTGAAGGTAGAATACCTGAACAGAAGGGCTAAATGTTCTCCAGTTGGATTGACCAAGATATTCAATATTTTCAACCTATTATTATTGATGCACTTATGACCATCACAGTGTTCCCCCATTGGTCATGTGATTAAAATTCAAGTGCTTGACACTAGCCTGTATTAACAATGACAGCAGTATTCCAGGGTCACATGATCACCATTTGTGATCTTCCTGGAGGCTTCTGTCAACAAAGTCAATGGGGGAATTTGGGTTTGCTTAATGACAGTGTGATTCACTTAATGACCACAGTGAAAAAAGCAAAACTGGATATGACTCACTTAATGTTCACTTTGCTTATCAATTGAGGTTTCATGGGTGGTCTCCCATGGAGAATGAGACACGCACACAGGTATCTCGGGATGGGAGCCCAGAGCTGACTCTTGCACCCTATTTTATTGTTACTAAGGTTTTTACATCACACAGCGTAAGCAAAAGACGTATATAGGGGTGGTTACAATGTATCAAATAACAGACACTTTCCAGATGCAAGGCTACTGCAGGTGTTCTTATCAGAGTCTGTCCAAATGGTTGATGAATGCATCCTGTGTCTAGAGCGGTCCGTTTGTTATCTCAAGGACCTTGTGGGAGATGTCTATGGACAGATGCCCATGGACATATTTGTGCAATTAATCCCACATCTCCTCCTTTTCTGTTTTTTCAATGTTACTCACTTCCAGTTCCAGAAGGGATCTTGATTCACTGATTAAGGCGTCCTTCCTAGTGGAGGGCGTAACATTTTTGCACATTTGCAGGAGGGAGGGAATACATTGAATGCAACAACATAGCAATACAAATAATATCAAAATGGTTACTATAATAGAAATCAAAGATCGTAGCCAGGATCCATCCGGTAGCCAGGACCAAAGGGCACCCCAAATATCCACGGTGCCTGATCCATCACTGCGTAAGGGATTATTTTGGAGCAAAGATTCCATTTTCCTGGCTGTAGCAGAAATATTAGGTT